TATTCCAAAATGCCAACTTTCCACAATAGGCGCCGAAACTCTCCTGGGTCATCCAAAACCTGATACGGACATACGCCCAAATCCAAAATATCATACGAACCTGTTGGAACCTTCAGATTCCGATTCCGAGGTCGTTTACTCAAAAATTCAACCTTAGTCAATTCTTCCAACTTAAAGATCCGAAATGAGAGTTTTCTTTCCAAATCAACTCCGAACTTCCCGAAATTCATTCCGACCATGCGTGCAAGTCATAATACCTGAAATGAAGCTACTCAAGGCCTCAAACTGCCGAGTGACGCGCTATAGCTCAAAATGACCGGTCGGGCCATTACAAAAAGCTGTGGAAAAGTATAGCCATTTTTGTCTTTTCACCGCTCGAGAGTAGGGGTGTTCATCGGTCAGCACGGTATGGTATTTAGTCATTTTGGTTTGTTATTTTTGGTATTCGGTTTCTTAAAATGTTATACCAATACCATACCTAATTACATTCGGTATGGTTCAACTTTTTTCCTTTCGGTTTTGGTTTATTCGGTCCGGTAATTTCGATTTATTCGGCTTGAATATTAACTAGTGTATAGAACCATAGACTGTAATATTTTTAATTAGAGTACTCAATAAAAACGTTCTAAGCACACCTGACTGTTGACAATTTTTGTCCAAAAGCATCAAGCATCAACTAAGAGAAATGGGCTGTAACGATCCGACCGGTCGTTTTGAGCTCTGGCGCGTCGTTTGGCGGTTTGAGGCCATGAACAACTTCACTTCAGGTATTATGACTTGTACGCGTGGTCGGAATTGGAATTCAGGAAGTTCGGAGTTGAATTAGAAAGAAAGTTATCATTTTGAATGCTTTAAGTTGGAAGAATTGACTAAGGTTGGATTCTTGAGTAAACGACCTCGGAATCTGGATTTGAAGGTTCCAGCAGGTTTATATGATGATTTCAGACTTGGGCATATGTTCGGATCGGGTTTTGGGTGACTCGGGAGCATTTCAGCGCCTATTGTGAAAGTTAGTATTTTGGAAGAATTTCATAAATTTTGGTTGAAGTGCATTTCAATGTTATCGATGTTCGTTTGGGATTCCAAGTCAAGGGATAGCTCTGTATGGTGATTCTTGTACTGGGAGCATGCCCGGTTATGGATTTGGAGGTCCGTAGGTCATTTCAGGGTCATTTGGCGAAAGTTAGAAATTTGAAGGTTTTTGAGAAGTTTGACCGGAAGTGAACTTTTTGAGATAGGGGCCGGATTCTGATTCCGAAAGTTGGAGTAGGTATATGACTTATGTGCAAAATTTGAGGTCAATCGGACATGATTTGATAGGTTTTGGCATTGAATGTAGACGTTTGAAGTTCTAAAGTTTATTAAGCTCGAATTGGGGTGTGATTCGTGATTTTAGCGTGGTTCGATGTGATTTGAGGCCTCGAGCAAGTTCGTGTCATGTTTTGGGATGTGTTGGTATAATTGGTTGAGGTCCCGAGGGCCTCGGGTGGATCCCGATTGGTTAAAGGGTTGATTTTTGGACTTAAGAATTTCTGAAGTTTAAGGCTTCTGGTGTAATCTCACTTGCGTGAATTTGCCCGTAGGTGCGAAATCGCAGGTGCGGCGTGTTGTCGCAGAAGCGAAAATGGACTGGAGTTGGTAAGGGCGCAGGTGCGGCAGATATCACGCAGAAGCGAGATCGCAGGAGTGGATTTTGTCCGCATATGCGGACCTGGCTAAGCTTAGTTGGAACTGCACATGCGATGGGAATTTCCGCAAGTGCGGAGCCGTAGAAACGACTACTGTTCCGCAGGTGTGGAAATGGCACCGGGCAGATTGTTTTAAAGACGGGACTTGGCCCATTTTTCATTCATTTTTCACTTGGTGGAGGCGATTTTGGGGGAGCTTCAAGGAGGGATTTTCATCAAGCAATACAAGTTAAGTGATTCCCACCTACTGCAAGTTAAATACATGGGTTCTATAAAGATTTGAGCATGGAAATTTGTAAAAAAATTGGGGTTTTTGGTAGAAACCCTAGAATTTGGTATTTTTGGATTTGAACACGAATTTGGGCATGAAATTTTGAATAAATTATATATTTGAGTTCGTGAGGTTATAGGTAAAGTTTATCTTCGAAAATTTTCGGAATCCGGGCACGTGGGCCCGCTGGTGATTTTATCAACTTTTCGAGCGGAGTTGGGAATTTGTTTAAATCGAATTTTGTGAGTATTAGAGAATATTTTTATGGGTTTGCACATTTATTGACTAGTTTTGGAGTGTTGGACATTAGTTTGAATTGTTGGAAAGGCTTGGGAGCCGGCTATGGAACTTCGGAGCGAGGTAAGTCTCCTTTCTAATCTTGTAAAAGGGAATTAACCCCATAGGTGAACTAAATTAATACATGCTTCTATTCGTGGGGGGCTACGTGCGCATGAGGTGACGAGAGTCCGTACGTAGCTAGTAATTATGCCTATGTCCGAGTAGTTCTACGTTTACACCATGATTTGCTGATACCGTTATTTGATCTTGTTTATTATTTGCCTTGAAAGGAATTTAGATCGAGTATGGTTATTAAATGCCTTGAAAAGAGTTGAAATTGAGGATTTCGGGACTTAGAAAGTTTTCATTTGGATTTCATATGTTGAAAAGAATTAAAGAATATTATAATAATAATTATTTGAGAAATTCTATATGTAACCGCGTCGCAATTATATTTCGCGAGCGGGTAAATTTTCACTACTCTCATGGTAGTGGGCCGTTCACCTCGGCAGGTTAAATAGATGCATCTATGGTTCGTGTTGTTCGACCCTCGACAGTGCACAGTTTATATTTATATGTTGGTTCGTGTCGTTCGACCCTCGGCATTGCACAGTTTAATATGTTGGATCGGGCCGTACGACCTCGGCATGACTGGCGCATGATTGAATTGATTGCTTAGGAATTTAAAATAAATGATATTGCCTCATTAGCCTGAGATAAATTGTTAAATGATGAGAAATAAATTTGGAGATTTTCTAATTATAAAAGAATTGCTTACTTACTTCAAAATAATGAGCTTACACCCGTTTTATATAACTCATGTTTAAATCATATCATTGGCATTTCATTTATAGCCCATAGCAAGTGTCGGAGTCGACCCTTCATCACTACTTCTTCGAGGTTAGACGGGATACTTACTGGGTACGCGTTGTTTGCATACTCATACTACACTTGCTGTAACATTTTGTTGTACAGGCACATGTATGTCTAGTGGCCTTGTGGGCGTAGCAACGTGGTTAATACGTGGACTTAGGTGAGCTGCATCTTGTGTTACGATCCGCAGCCAGTAGAGTCTCCTTCAGAGTATTTACATTCTCTCTCCTGTCCAAGTTCTATTCCGGATAGATGATGTAGAGCCCGTTTGGATTAGCTGATTTAGAGTAGCTGATAAGCATTAGGTGCTGAAAGGCACTTTTAAGTGCTGAAGCTGATTTAAAAAATAAGCAGTTACGTGTTTGGATAAAAGTGCTGAAATTAATAATATGCAGCTAAAGAACCGGGTATATGAAGAGTTTTTATTTTAAAAAGAAGTATTTTAGGGATAGAATAGTAAATATTTTGGTCAAACTTAAACTGCTTATAAGCTGAAATTTGATAAGTTGGGGGAGACCAACTTATGGCTTTTGGCTTATTTTTGGCTTATAAGCACTTAACTTATAAGCACTTTTAATTTTACCAAATGCGTAGATAAGCCAAAAAGTGCTTATAAGCCAGTTTGACCAGCTTATAAGCTTAGCCAAACACCCTCGTATTTTATTTTATTTTTCCTAGTTGATGCTCATGCACTTGTGACATCGGGTTCTGGGATGATTATGGGTTATTCAGTATTGAGATTGTGAAAATATTATTATTTAATCTGGATTTTCCCCCTTCTACTATTTAATTGAAGTAATACTATGATTTCAACAATATTAAAAAGAGACCTAAATTAAGTACTTAATTGTTGGCTTGCCTGACAGCAGTGCTGGCGCCATCACGACCTTTAATGAATTTTGGGTCGTGACAAAGGCACATCAAGGAATACATTTGATCATTGAAATTATCATGTTACTTGCTTAGAGTTAATTGTTGAAACTAGAGAATACAAGAAGGACTAATCCAACATATGCAACAATAATAAAAGAGTAATGGAGTAAGAAGCACCCTAAAACCGTTGAAACATACGTTAAACTGCTTAGCAACCTAGAGAGTAAGAATCAGAACCTACATCCTACCTTGTTCCTCCATTTTCCTAAAGAAGTACATGGGCTTTGCTGCCAATCTCAACATGAATGCCAAAGAAAAATATTATCTAACTTAGTATGTTAATCAATAATATGTATAATGTGTAATTTAGTATATATTTAGGTACGGTATCAGTATTTTGGTATTATTTTTTTAAATATCAAATACGCCTAATACCAATTTATTTTAAAAACATAAAACTAAATACCATACCAAATAAAATACCATATACTAAAATTTTCAGTTGCGGCACGATAACTCGGTACTTACCATATTATGCACGGCCTTACTCGAGAGCATCTCTAGCCTAACGCAAAATACCTCTAGCACTTTTCTAACAAGTCTTTTAGAGGAATCTTGGCTAAAAGGGTGAGGATTTTAATTTAGTACTGGACAAAAACACTAAAATAGTCCCTGAAGTATAGGTGTACATCTATTTTTATCCATAATAACCAGTCTTGGAAATTAACGGTCCTTCAAGTTTGCAAAATGGGTCATTTAGTCCAGATAACTGATATCTAAATAAATAATGGAAAAGATCAAACCAAGTTAAAACTAACGTCTTCCACTCGCGAGGGTGTAGGCGTGTAACCTATTTAATCAATGAAATGGGTAAATACCATGGAAAGTCAAGCTTTAAGTTCTAGCAGAGACAAAATATGGCTGATGATTTCTTCTCATCTACCTAAGTCTTAGTAGACAGAATTACCCGAACTAGTGCTAGTGGGAGATAGAAAGTACAGGTGGAACCGTCAAGATGCGCACAAACTAACTCGAATACGATCCTTTTCATTTAATGTCTTACAAGGGAAACAAAATGGAAACACAACAAAGTGGAGCAGTGTGTTTGTATAGTGACAATGCTGCAGATTATGAATTCTTCCACCATCTCAAATGCCTAGCTGAGACTATTTCCTTAGTAGGCTACATTATGTACATTTTCCTAGGTATGAATTACACACTCCGCAAAATGATGTATCTTACCAATTTCATGAACCATCTGTTGATATACTATCTTTTTTCGTCTTCTCGAGCCAAGGGTATATCGGAAACAGCTTCGCTACTCCCTCGGGGAAGGGGTAAGGTCTGTGTACACACTACCCTCCCCAGACCCCTTCACTTGTGGGATTTTACTGGGTCGTTGTTGTTGTTGTTGTTCATGAACCATCTGCATCTTCAAAAAGTTAGGTGATTTTATCACCTAAGCCTTGCTGGACATAGTTAAAAGGTACATGCGTTAATGGGAGATTGTAGGTACCCGGTGAAAGATGTGAGCAAGTTGGCCTGGACAATATCGTTACTAGAAAAATCTTCAGCTGACGGGAACTGCAGGCGTTCCATATAGCACAACAATAGTAAAACTTAAAATGCTTCATAGTATCTTCAACCTACATTCTCAAACCAGTAATTACTTTCTAAACTTTAAAAAAACATTGAAGTCAAATATCAAGCTTGAAACTGGTCCAAAGACTACCAATGGCAACTTAGATAATTGAAGCAATTTCAAATAAGAAGGCACTCCAATAAAATATCAAAGAACCTATGCTTCAAGCCACAGTCTTCAGGATTTCTAAAGAGATGTCCAATTTCAAAAGGCACAACAAAATGCACAACAATGTACTGAACACTTGCAAAATCTAAACTTTTTTGGAACGTTAAAGATAGCCGAGCGTGTACAACAACTAAGGGGATTGTGATCCTATATAAAGAATATAAATCTATAACATATTGCAGTTGCTAACTTAGAACTATCTAACAGAATCAAATCTTATGATACCAACTCGTATGTGCCAGCCAATTACTTATCAACTACAAAAAACAACTGCGCTAAATTCCAAAAAGGTTGTAGTCAGCTATATGAATCCTCATTGTCCATGCTGTTCTATTACTCAATCTATAATTCTATATTGTGTCAGTCAATCTATTGTCAAGTTGGGTCAGATTAAAATTTTGTCTTACCTTCACGACATTGCTCCGGACTCCATCTTGTGATTGTTCTCTCTTCAACACCATAACCATCCAAGCAAGATGGAGAAGCTGCATGCTTTTTCTGTTCGACAATATTAAGAACAAGCAACGTTTTCGCTACACTTCCACATAGTCGAAGAGTGCACTGGAAGTCAGACCAAACCCTCAAGCGACCATTTGTATTACCATTTCGAGCAGACATAACAAGCACAGCATATTCAGAATGAACAAAAGCTGGATGATGACGATAGGCGACAAAGTCCACTCCATACTGAGACCCCAATCTGACCACCCAATTTTTACTTCTTAAGTGAGAATAAGCTTTATATAAAACAGGAAAATTTTCCCTCTTGGATGTCATATACTTCCATAACTCATCACTGTTCTGCTCACAGCCATTGTGGTTTACAATCTTGATGCAGTTTAGAGAATAGTATAGGTAGAAAGCTTCCTCCATACAGAGTTGAAACCATTGTTCATTATTTTCTGCTGTTACTCTTGGCCTACCAAAACATGCGCGATTCAGGAGGTTAGTTTGTACAACATCTGCTTTAAGAAGTAAACTCATACCAGAGAGCAGCCCTCGAGAATTTGATTGGATTAGAGAAGATTGAAGCTGGGAAACTATCTCTGAAATCGGATCTGCAAGAGCTTTAGCTTTAGCACCCTTTCCTTTCCACCTTGGTGCCATTACAACTGCCAGATTCCTATTTATAACTGTTAAAGAAACAAAGTAAAATCTGTAACCAAAAACGGAGTAGTACAGTGGACCATAGGCATGTAAAGTCTCTCTTGACAATGTTCCAAGATTTAAGTTAGTATATCTTACCAATCAATGATGCATAAAAAGTGCATGATAAGACCTGATGAGATAGATTCACAGCATGTCAACCTTTTTTTTTTTTTTTTTGCTCGAAGTATCTAGTATCCGAAACTACTGGTCTAACTAATCCAGATTCATAGGGAAAAGCCCACTAAGAAGGGTTGAGCAAATTGCTCCCTCCCTAAAGGTTTTCCATATCCTACACTTAAAACCCAAGACTTCTAGCCAAGGAAGCTGGAGAAAAATCCATTAAGAAGGAGGGGGTCCACCCCAAATTTTTTTTCATATTCTAGACTTAAAACTCGAGACTTCTAGTCAACGGAGGAGGATCTCTGCCATCCCACCACACCCCTCGGAATATGTAAAGAGTAAATAACTGATAGGATTAACAACTAAAATTAGAATCACAACAATATGTGATACAACAATCAGTGACCCATATTCTCAGTAAAAGTGTGCAATTTAAACTTTTTATATGTAACAACTTATTTACATTTCGTTCGGGCATGTGAAGAGGAGAGACATAGATGCTCTGACCAGGAGGTGTGAGAGGTTGTCCATGGCGGGTCTAAGGAAGGGAAGGGTATGCCTAAGAAGTATTGGGGAGAGGTAATTAGGCATGACAACTTACCGAGGATATGACCCATGATAGGAAGGTGTGGAGGTCGATAATTAGGGTTGTAGGTTGACAGATAGTAGTGTGTTCCTCCTAGGTTGACCAGTACTACTAGGACTATTTTTGTAATTTCCTATTTATGTTTCTTTATTATTGCATATTGTGCCATTCGCGTCCGTTACCATGTTACATTGTTGCTACTATTCGTTGCTACTTGGTTGCTATATCTTAACTGTTGCTTGAGCCGAGGGTCTATCGGAAACGGCCTCTCTATCGCTATGAGGTAGGGGTAATGTCTGCATATACACTACCCTAAATCAAACTGGGTTTTTTATTGTTGTTGTTGTTTGTATATATTTGAACTCCTAAAACTTCATTTTAAAACCTCGTGGAGCTTGTTCAGTTAAAGGATATTTCAGGCTGAAAACGAAGAGGGAAGCTGTTGCCGCTATGGAAACAATTCAAATTCAAAATTTCTCCCTTTTCCCCTTCAAAACCCCAAAAAGAAAAAGAGAAGAATGTTTTATTCTGGACATAAAACGCAAGAATTGAGCATAAAAATGAAGCCATTCTACCCAATTGAGCTATAAGAGCAAGACATTGAATACTTCATTCGCTCAGATAATTGCAAAGTACCTCGAAATTAACCCTGTCTTGAAAGAACATGGTGAGAAATTAGAGAGTTATAGGGTTTGAGAACGAACCGCAACAGATTGGAGGAAATGCCGGGCAATATTGGGAAGAGGATCAGCAGTCAGCCGTGGACGTTGTCGGGGATTTGGTTGGGAGATGAGGCACCTAGTTGGGCTCATAAGAAATGGAGGAAACAATGGACTAACCCCTATTTAGTATTTAGCCAATAGCCATCATTTCAAACTTTAATGGCTTTTTAATATAGAAATAAAATTTAAACAATTTTTTTTTTTTTTTTAGCTAAAACACGAAATAAAAAATTACGACTAGAGTCTGAACTGCCACCATTCAAATTCCAGAAAAAAACTACAGTTCAAAGTAACTTGACTATGTGTTTTTTTAGTTTTCCACTAGATGTTCGGTACTTATATTGGGTCCCAACTAAATTCAGATTCGGGTCGGAAAATTTCAAATTAGGAAATACAACGCTTCCTAACAAAAACGAGGCTCAAACCCGAAACTTTTGGTTAAATGAAGAGTACTTACCACTCCACCATCACTTTTATTGGTGACACATCACTTTTATTGGTGACACAACAACACCAACAAATCACAACCTTAATTGGTGACTCAACCCAACACCACCGGTATAATTCTATAAGGTCTGGTGACTCGACTACGTTATTTCAATAGCTTAGATGATCATTTTAAGTAAATAACTCCAAAACTGCACAAGTATTCGTATTAAAGTCTGACATTTAGTTTTCGTTATAACTATCTGGTTTTATTGCTTATGCAAGAATCAGGAGATAAAACCACATTACCAATGCCACACTTCAGTTATACACCACTCTTTGTATTAGTCATCCTCTTCTTTGTAATCTTAGGGATTGTTCGGTATTAGAGATAAAGATAATAATCTCGAAATAAAATGTAAAATTATTTTATCTTATGTTTTGGTTGAAATTTTGATTCCGGGGTACATCTTGCATTGGAACCAAACAATTACAAGCTACTGTAAATCTCATTCTAAATCCAAGGTGCATCTTGTATATTGGAACTAAAGGACGCCTTGATATCCCCCCGCCTAAGAAAATTACAGATGTCAAAGATATATAAACCAGAAGTCAAATTAAATTCTTCTAGATTACACAATATACAGTTTACACTATGTATATATAGGAGGCTTATTATATTCACAACAGTTTCCATTTTCCACCACAACTCCATCAATAATCCACCTCCGTAAAGAATGAATATTTAGAAAACAAGACTTGGCTGGTTGTTAAAAAATATTATCAGAGTCCCTGCATTTAGGCCAAGAACAAGCTGACATTATACATATCGATCACCGGGAACTTCATCCTAAAACCTTAATAAGTATGCCGGTAATTGTATAGGGTCGAGTTTGACCAACCCCGTCCTCAAAAGGGACACGACCTGTCATGTGGACAAAGGTCGGGTCCAAGGGACGACCATGTAATCACGTCGGCCCCTCTGTAACGAGCACTTTATCTTTAGTTTATATATTTTATCTTTGTATCGTAAATAGGAGAAAAGGGGAAATCCCTCCGCTATATAAGGGGGGTTCCCAACTGTGTAAAGGAAGGATTTTTTTTTCGATCAATAACATTGCTACTTACTCTCTCTATCTCTCTGTCTCAATTTCTTTCTCTGAAAAACGGATACCTCGGATCTTTGTAACATTATCACGCAACTTTGTCCTTTAACTGCTCCGAATCACCAAACCACAAAGGATTACTCATACTCTAGTGTCGATTATCTTTGATTACGATTTACCTCTCCTCCATATATTTGATTGATTTGCTTAAACACTGTTCGTTAACATTTTAAGTCAAACAATTTGGCGCCGTCTGTGGGGATTTCGATAATCAAAGTCATAGTTCACATCTAGAGTATCAGAAACAACGATCATTATCCCCCAAAAAACTCAGTAGAACCAGAAATGGCAGACAGAGAAGCTAAGCTAAAGATGATAGCTGATGTCTCAACCAACCTGATGGGCCCCCTCAACAAGGCCAGTAGAGAAGATGCTTCAAACGCAACACCGAGCAATCTTCCGGAGGAAAATGTATCGCCCTCCTCACTCGAAGATCTAACCATCTTGCATGAGAAGGGGACTTCGACACCCGCAGTAAAGGAAACACCCCCAGTAGTCAAAAAATTACTAGAGGAGTGGCTGACAAGCACCCTGAGCGGCCTGCTCGAGAAACCGTCTCCGGGAGACCCCAGCGATTCGCCAGCGGCAGCGACTACCGCAGCCGCCGGCGAACCAGGTGCTATGCGAACGAGCCGCGCTCATACAGACATCATCGTAAGCAACGATGCGCTCGCAACCATCCTAAGAAAAATGGAAGAAATGGAGAATGAGAATAAGGCATTACGTGACCAAATGAAAGAGCACCAGGAAAGGTAGACAAAATACCCGGTGCACCAAAATTACTGCCGAAACGCGACGTAGGACGTTTCGTCGAGCAACCGTACAGCGAGGAAGCCGCCCCTCATCCGATCCCAAAAACCTTCAAGATGCCCCCATATTTGAGAATATATGATGGGACCACGGACCCAGAAGATCATCTGATCCACTACGTAACCGCTGTGAAAGGAAATGACTTGTCAAAGGAGCAGGTGCCGTCCGTGCTGCTGAAAAAGTTCGGAGAAACCCTGACCGGAGGGGCACTAACATGGTATTCGCAACTGCCGGCTAGGTCGATATCAACGTTCGAGGAGATGGCGGACAAATTCGCTACCGCCCATGCGGGAGCAAAGAAGGCCGAAGCAAGGGTTAGCGACATATTTGCGATCAGGCAAACGACAGGCGAAGGGCTCAGGGACTTCCTGGCACGATTCAACAGAGTGAGAATGAGCCTGCCTAACGTATCGGAGGGAATGGCAGTTGCCGCCTTCCAAAACGGTTTGAGCAGGGACGGTTCGAAAGCAACCAAGAAACTACTCAGCCGACTCATGAAGTATCCCCCCACAACGTGGGAAGAGATCCACAACGCCTACTGTGCAGAGGTAAGGGCAGACGAGGACGATCTTAACGGTCCGACCCAGCGGCTAACGTCAGTACAGACGGAAACCAGGAGAGATCGACGCAACGACGGGCGACGGGACCCACTCCCACGGTTTAACAGAGAAAGGCATCAGCCCTACGTTAGAGCCCCTAACCCGCCTCCTCCGAGACACCAGGACGCCTTGCAACGACATACTGCTACGCTCCGGAATGAAAGAGGTATGCCTCCGTTATTATCTGCTCATAACTTTTGTGTCTCACCCTCAGAGATAGTATACGCACTGGAGAAGTTAGGCACGAAGGTACACTGGCCGCTAAAAATGAAATCAGATCCTAGTGCGAGAAAATCAAACGTCCTGTGCGAGTTCCACCAGGAACGGGGACACAGGACCGAAGACTGCATAGGCCTACGACAAGAAGTAGTCAGGATGCTGAACCATGGATACCTGAAGGAGCTGCTCAGCGATAAAGGGAGAGCCAACTTCGCCAGGGGACGCGACCAATCAAGGGCCGCCAAAACCGCCGTCCCCGACACGAACCATACAGATGATTGTCGGTGGTGGTGATAATTCGACAATCAACCACGTCAAATTCACCACCACGCACAAACTGAAGCGCGCAATCGCTCACGAACGGTATGATGACTTCGAAGATAGTATCACCTTCGATAAGTCTGATGCTGACGGTTTGTCTTTCCCTCACTATGATGCTTTAGTCATAACCTTACGCATTGCTGATACTGATGTAAAGAGAATTATGGTAGACGACGGAAGCGGCGCGTGTATTATCCATCCGAGAGTCCTCACGCAAGTGAGGCTTGAGGATAAAGTAATATCGCATTGCATAACACTAACGGGTTTTAACAATGCAGTAGAACGCACCTATAGAGAGATATCACTGCCGGTCCTGGCGGGAGGAGTTACGCTGGACACCACCTTCCACACCTTGAACTAGGAAACGGCTTACAACGTCATCATAGGACGTCCATGGATACACGCTATGCGAGCCTAACGAGGCCGAGTACGAGGCTGTTATTGCAGGTATAAAACTAGCCATCAAGTATGGAGCTCGACGACTCATTCTCCATTGCGACTCCCAACTCGTGGTGAATCAGGTCACTGGGACTTACCAAATCAAGGAGCAGAGATGCAAAAATCCAGTCAGAAATCTACAGATAATGACTGAGTTCGACGANGAGATCGGAGAACCCAGTCTGAGATACTCACACACCAGTGGAGCAGACAACGACGCCAGCAGGTTACAAGACCTGGACGAGGTCGAGGAACGAAGAGACATGGCCCACATACGAATGGCCGCCCAAAAACAACAAGCGAAAAGATATTACAACAGGAAAGCCAGGGTGAGACCGCTTAAAATTGGCGACTATGTTCTCAAAGCCAAAACACTGGCATCGAAAGATCCGAACGAAGGAAAGTTAGGGACCAACTGGGACGGGCCATACAAAATTACAGCGGCAACTAGCAAAGGAGCATTCCAACTAGAAACGATGGAGGCAAAGTTACTCTGAAACAATTGGAACATCGCCCATCTCAAGCAATTCCACTTCTGAAAGGTGTCTCCCGAGTCGTACTCTTTTTTCCTTACCCGAGTTTTGTCCCAATTGGGTTTTCTCGGGAAGGTTTTTAACGAGGCGACGAAGGGGACACCCGGTGGAACAAGAAGCACGAGTTCACCACGTGGGCCAACATGGTGAAGGGACTACCCTAGTATCCCCGTTGTTCTCCATTGTATGAATAGAATTCTCTTCTGTATGAATAGAATTCTCCATTGAATGAATAAAGATCTCCATTGTATGAACATGATCTCCATTACGCAAACAAGAAAACAGTTGACACCAGTTCGACCTCGCTCGAACTAGGACTCGGGCTAAGTGCCTTCGCCATTAAAATAGTGCAGTTCGACCTCGCTCGAACTGGGACTCAGGCTAAGTGCCTTCGCCATTAAAATAGTGCAGTTCGACCTCGCTCGAACTGGGACTCAGGCTAAGTGCCTTCGCCATTAAAATAGTGCAGTTCGACCTCGCTCGAACTGGGACTCAGGCTAAGTGTCTTCGCCATTAAAATAGTGCAGTTCGACCTCGCTCGAACTGGGACTCAGGCTAAGTGCCTTCGCCATTAAAATAGTGTAGTTCGACCCCGCTCGAACTGGGACTTAGGCTAAGTGCCTTCGCCA